CCCCCCCAGTAAATATGCAATAAAAGAAACATTTAGCATACGAAACAATACAGATCCAGCTTTCTGAACCATGCTGAGAACCATCTGTTAGCAAAACTGGCAAAAGGTTTTGTAAAATATCAACCTGGAAAACTTGGCTGTGGGCAAAATCTGAGTGAGGCAAAGCCTGAAGCAATAGACAAGTACATGAAGGAAACACCCTAAGAATGGGGTGAACCTGGGCCTAGAGACCCTTCCTATGCCGATGCCCTGGAAACTTTTATTACATTCAGAAATACTCCTTAATTTATATACATCTCTGTCTTAATCTGATCGTTCTTTAATGGAGACCACCAATAAGTGCATTAGTAAATGCAATTTCCATTATATTGAACACTTAAAACCATGCTTTCCTCCAGGATGCACCTGATCCTATCAGGCTGAATCGCGGGCTAACCTGATAGCCATTTGGCCCTTCTAGTTAAATTCAAAATAACACATTTCCCAGGGGCTCTGAAAGACTTCTGAGAATGGCATCAAATTCAGTTATAAAGTCATTTTCTGAATTGCTTTTTCCATGCCTGTTTGCATAACCCATCCTTCCAAGCTCCTTTCAAAATCTACTGGCTCCATTAGCCACACTGATACTAACTGGTTCTCATCTTAGTTTATGTCTTTTTTTAACCTCCATTATAACACTGGTTGTAACTGGAACCATCTGCTCTGTTACATCTGAAAATGATATAGAGCAAAGATCAGGCTTTTCCTTGTCATCCATCACAACACCCCACAATATGCCTCGCATACAGGATGTGCGCATAAAGAAGGGAAAGGAAACTGACGCAGTTAAACAGGGAGAAAGTCAGGCCAGGGGACTGTCACTTCTCTGGGTTCTTCATGCAATGGATAGCAATCCTATTATCATTTTATTTCAAATGGCTCTTGGAAAAGGTTAATAAATGGAATTTTTAATGAATTATTTTCACTATAGTGGTTTCTTGATGGTGAACAGTCATCACTAAGGGAAATAAATAAGAATGGAATGAAAAGGGCCAGCATTTGTTGAATTCTGAAAATGGATCCTGTGATTAATGCTCTAAATGCATATTCTCATTTAATCCTCATAACAATTCAAAGAAATGGGTACTATTATTGTCCTCTTTCTGCAATAAACTGAGTCTTAAACAGGTGAAGTAATCTACCCACAGACACACTAGGAATTGGTAGATCTAAGATTCAAACCCAAGTCCATCCTCACCGACTTGCTATACTGCCCAGGGTATAGAGAAAATACAGGCACAGCACTAGAAATACATGCCTTCCCAGAGAATTTCTCAAATGGTTATCTAAACAACTTATTGTCTTCAAGTAAATTGTTCACTCAGAATTTATGGGATTATACTATTAATTTTATCTTTTATATGGATTTTTCTGGGGTTATTAGATACAGCCTTAGCACTCAGTATGGGACCAAACACACAGAAAGTACTTAATAAATACTCATTGAGTTCATAGTCTTGGTCAACAAACACAATACTTTTGAGTCTTAATTTCCTCAAGAATAAGTAGTAAAATGATAGTGTAAATATACTTGGAAAACTGGTATGAAGAATACAGTTACAATTGTAATACTACTTCTAGAAATATCGAAAGCTAGATGCTGAATGGAGAGACTCAATGCATCCCCCCCCCCACCCCAAGCCAAGGACTTAAAACAGGTCCGTTGGGTGCCTCTTACTGTTCTTACCTTCCCGGATGGCTGTAAAGGGGACCCCTTCCTCTTCGTTCATGCTGATGACCTTTAAAGCCACCAGTTGTCTGTTTATTCTAGAAGAATGAGGGGGAGGGCACACACTCAGCTGGTTCACAGAAGTTTAACACAAAAAAAGTTTTCCTTCAAAACATATTCTAGCATATGAATCTACAATTTTTTCAGAATAAAAAGTTTTTAAAGTCCTATGTATATATACCAAAACATTTTCTTTCTTTACCAAAGGGATCCATGTTCATTATAAAAAAATTTGGAGGATACAGAAATCAGAGACACCCTCCTCATAATCAGAGACATCCATCCTCATAATATTTTGATGTACACTGTTCCTTTCATTTTCCTTTGTGCACTTATTGGAACCACCCTTATTTTTTACCTGAATTATTGTCATAACTTCCTAACAGCCTGCCTGCTTGTACGCTCGGACCCTTACTGTCTACTCTCAGCAGAGTAGCCCGGGGCACCCTTTTTAAGGGAAAGTCACGTCTCTGCTCAAAACAAAGCACTGTCACTCTAAACAAAAGCCAGATTCTTTTTTTTCTTTTTCTTTTTAATATGTATAATTTTTATTTTTGTTTAAGGTATTACAGATGTCCCTTTTTCTCCCCAATGACCCATTCCCCCCCCCATCCTTCCCCCTCCCCAGTCCCTCTCCCCACCATTGTCCATGTCCTTGGGTTGTGCATA